GAGGAAACTAAAGAACTTTATGAACGTAAAAGGCTGTAAACATTTTCAAGTAGAGACTTTAAATATTATAAACCTGAAAACAACGGACCTTTAAAGGGAGTTTTTCTTGTCACCAAGGGCTTGCTCAGGGGGGTTTCTTTTGAAATGTTCTTTATAATACTGTACTATATATATATACACCATACTATATAAAGTCCCCTGAGATTATTGTTGTTTTTGTTGTTGTTGTGAATTGTCACTATAAAAATAAAACTGAATGGTTCTCAAACTGATATAGCTTAATCTGTACATTGCTAAAACATGCATAATATCTTTCAGCCACTTCAAAAGACAACCAGGTGTACTCAAAAGGAAAACATTTCTAGCTGAGGACCTGTGTTTATTCTTGCTTGCAGCAGAGATTATACTAAAAAGGAGAAAATATCAAATGTCCCAGAGGTTGTAGAACCCCAGTGACAGTTAGCTTTACTGTAGCTGGGTAGCAGAGGCTCAGCAGAGGGGTCCAGAGATGGAGCTCAGCTGGCACTTAGTAGGAGCCACTTACAGTCAAGGAGAGGAGAGGAGAGGAGAGCAAAGAAAAAGGAGGAGGAATGAGGCTGAGTGTGTGCTGAAAGGCCAGGGTAGTGAAGACGCTACTCCAGGGGCAGAGACCAACATCTGTGCCCCATTTAGTGATGTTTCACTTCCTTTATAGTTCCCCTTGTTTTCTTGTCTTTTATTTGTAACTCACACTATCTTTCTTTCTATCTATCTATCTGTAGTCTGCATGTGCAGATCATGTGCAGGTGCATGTCTCATTTCTTACAGCCGGGCTAATAGATTATCACTAGGGCTTGTTCTGTAGCACAGGGGTCACAAGAGGTTAAATGATGAGTCCAGTGGAACTGTTCAACCCAGGTGTGTGTGTGGTTCAATTCATCGTGAACATGCAGCCACCTCTCTTGGGTTTTAGCACGGACACTCCTCTCAACCCTGTGTCCCTCACGATGCTCTGCACTCTGCTCTCATTATTCCACCTAATGACACAAACACACACTCAAGCATGAGCCACTTGCCCTGCAGAGCCTCACCTCAAGTCCAGATAAAGACACACACACATAAACATACACACACAAGGCACTGTCATGGCATTCTGATCTTCACTGTTCCTCCCTGTCTCACCTGAAAAGTTTATTAAAGACAGCAACTAGTGGTGTGTGTGTGTGTGTGTGTGTGTATGTCTGCGCACATATGTATATGTGTGTGAGTGTGTATCTCCAGGGTAGCAGGTGGCCGGTTGAGTAAGACAGGAGATGAATGGAAAGAGTAGGAGAGTGGTGGAGCATGATTGGGCCAGGCCATGGGGGACAACATGGCTAGTCATTTATTAGAGGCCAACATACACACGAGCACACCCACACACACAAACCTTGCATGCATGCAGCCAAATGCAATGCTTCTCTGAACACACACACACACACACACACACACGTGCAAACACATTCTGTCACAAATCCATATGCAAATACACATACACAAGGGTACATGCTCCCAGAGGCACACACACATGTGCACATTGACCTAGTATCTACCACTCTCCATTCATCTAGCCTAAGTAGAGCAACACTAGCCACAGACAAAAAACTATACAGTATCTTTCAAACATAAGCCTTACTTGTGTGTGTGTGCGTGTGTGTGTGTGTGTGTGTGTGTGTGTGTGTTTTGTCTAGCTCAGAGCCTGCCTTTGATAAGCTTCTCTAGCTGTTTCAAGATGTTTATCGTTTTCTGACCCATTTTGAGTCTTTGGCCCCTTGTTCACATCTCTCCTGGTGTTAATGTTCCTACGCTTTATATGTGTGTGTGTATGCCATTGATCCAGCTGGAAGCAGTGTGTAAGAGAGAGAGAGAGAGAGAGCAGTAATATTCCAGGCCTTTCATAATGATTAAAGCCTTCATTAAATTTTCATCCCAACCTGCTGTTTGCTACTAATGGCCTTTGTGAACCACACAGCCAAACAATGGTTAGCTGGGCACAGAAAAGGGATTTCTATCTTGCGTTCAATACTGCCCTCGTTGTTTCCCCCTGCTTCTCTTCATCTTTTCTCAGCTTCCTTTAGTTTTGTTTGCTCTCTTTTCTTCCTTCCTTTCTCTTCGTGCTTGCCCTGGGTTTTCTGTGTGTATGTGCTGGATCTGGAAGCACTGGGGCCTTTTGTTAGTGCATTTCATTTAAACGCAGGGCAGATAATGCTTCAGGTTGGTTTGGATGCTGCACCACTGTGGCACTCTGCTAATGGGGTCTGTGAAGACACTGCTCTTTCTCTCCTTGACTCTGCCTCTTCTTCTATTCCTGTCTGTCTCTTCATTCTCCCTCTCCACTTCTCTCTCATTCTTTCTTTTTGTGGTGGCTGACTCATAAAGCTCTATTATTGTTGTTTTTATTTAATCTGTGCAGCCAGTTCACAAGGTCCAGTGAAACAGCGAAAAACCCAAAACACACCTCAATTACAGCTCAGCTCAACAAACAGCCCAGTTTTCTTTTTTTAATGTCTAATATGCCACAACAAGCCTCTCTATCAACTGGAATAAAAACAACCAAACGGCGAGAGCTGACCAGCAGTCTTGGCCATTTTGAAAACCTTATAGAAAAGCTTGGAAAATAAGGTTAGCGTGTCGCACCTTGAAATGAAAGCCTGTTCATGTACTGAGGGAACACACAGACACACAAGTACACAGGTACACTTACAACTAAAGACAAATACACAGATGCACTGTTCTTTCACCTTTTGGGCACTGTGTCCTACAGGTCAAGGTCAAAGTGCATATTTGTCATATGCACAGTTAGGAAATGTGTTTCCCTGTACAATGAAATTCTTACTTTGCCATCCACATGAATGCCACAAAATACAAATGAAATATAAAGTAGATAAATAAGTAACAAAATCTAATGCAAAATCTACAGTTCACAGAGATGTTTAAAGAGAAACCTTTGCACACAGCAGCGCTGGATTTAGAAGCAAAAGGGGATGAAAAGGAGGGGAAAAAATCTAGAAAAAGATCTAAAGTTTGTTTTAACAATCATCAACTTTAAAGGTCGTGGTGGGCCCACTCATTTCAAAGGAACCTACACCTGACCTAGGATCTGAGTCAGACAGGTTCTGAAGTACACTTGGAGGTGGGAGGTGGCAGTCTTGTTTTGTATGACTGCTTTTGGATCGATGTGAATCATCATATGTCTGGTCATATATGTTGTAGGAGTAGCATTGTTACTTTAGGAATAGCTTAGTGTGTAGTGGGTGTGTTTAATTGCAATGGTGTGGCTACAATCAGAACAGGCAGGTGATGGAGATTGGAGCAGAGTAAGGTTTGGCAGGAAAACTGTGAATGTAACTGTGAATGCAGAGTAAAGTCTGTGAGAAAATGCTAATGATCAAGTCAAGTTCCTGTGTTTCAGCCAACTGCTGAAGGGGGTTAACCCACAGGTTAGCATCAACTTTGGCTACAGAGCAGAATATTTGCTCTGTCATGTTCTTCATGATTATGACTTGAAAGATGTAAAGATAATGCTTAACAAGTTGTGAGAATATTGCAGGAAATATTGCTATTAAATGACAATTGTGTATTGAAATTCACAGATGTTTAATTGCTTAGAAATGTATTATCTTCGTCTGTGCCAGCTCATGAAGTTCAACCTGCCCCAGGAGCTGCTGATACAGTTCTACAAAGGAATCACTTAGTCAGTTTTCTGCTCATCCATCACTGTTTGGTTTCGTTCAGCAACCAAAGGGGGAACAGACTCCAGCAGACAGTTTGGAATGCAGAAAGAATCACTGGTGCCAGCTTGCCCTGCATGAAGACCTGTACACCTCACAGGTCAAAATGAAGGCAGAGAAGATTTCTGCAGACCCTTTGCATCCTGGACACAAATTGTTTGAACTCCTCCCCTCTGTATGGCTCTACAGATCACTGTACACCAAAACCAGACACAAGCATACTTTATAAAAGCTGTCTCTCTTTTCCTTTCATTCCTTTTTGATTGCACACATCAAGCTACTGCCAGTGTTGGTGTCTCCTCTATTCAGGTTTAGTCTGACTTCACTCAGGTCCCCTTGAAATTGGGTCTCTTTAGAAAATGAATTAACCTCAGTGAACTATTTTAAAACTGACTCTGACTTTACTGTGAAGCCCATGAAACATTTCTCCACCAATTAAACAAGTTATATTAGTGCATCTTCTTAATGGAGATGGACACCTGTTGGTGATCTCCTTATCGCATTAACACTAGGACATACCTGTACATTTCATAGCAGCCCAGTAGAGATTAGAGTTGGCCATGGACTAATTTTATCTCTTTTCTTGACCTCAACTGTTAGCCCAAGGCCATGTTTGAGATTGAAATGTGGAGGCTAATCAAGCTAAGCTATTTAGCCCTGGGCAAAAATCTGGTTTAGTTTCTTCAATAGTGTGTGAAATCTGTATTTGAGAGCCAAGAGAGCTTTATCCAAGAGGTTAAAAAGGTAGTATGATAGGTGATAAATTGAACTGAATCCTCACTGGTTCTTTAGCAGAAATAAATCTTACACTAATGTGAGTGTCTCCTCCTTGAAATTAAAGCCAGGGACCATTTGGAGAGTTATTAAGATATCCAAGTATGTTTGCAGGCTTTTCACACACTCAAGCATGCACTCTCACACATGAACACATGCGCACACACACACACATCTTATTTGTCAGGTTGTGATAAATATGCAAAGCATGGTGGACAATAGGCCCTAACAGCTGATGCTGTCTGTCTGTGTGCTGGGAAAAACAAAGGCTCGCCTCTCATCTCAATGTGTGTGGGTTCATAACAGAGGGAGAGAGAGACTCTCTCACTCTGACAGAGCTACACAGAAAACAAGACAAGAAAGAAGTAGAGAGAAAGGACAATTGAGCGAAATAAAAGATCAGCAAGGAGCTGCAGAGATGACAGGGACTTTCAGATCACACATCTGGCCAAGCAAGCATCCCCTTTCTTCACTGACCTTCTGGCTCGTTCTTGATCAGCTCCTCCATCTTACGTTGCTTCAGTGTGTCCACCACATCTGCCAGGCTGCCCTTGCGCCTCTCGGGGGTCCCCAGGGTGCCTGTGACTGAGCCAACATCATTGCAAGCCCGCCCCATGCCTCCACCTTCCTCTTTGCCTGGTGAGGTAGCAATGTGCTGGGGGTAAGGACTCAGAGAGTTCCCCTTAGTACCATCCTGGTCCTGGGGTGGAGGAGAGAAGATGATGTAGAAAGGAGATACATTATTAGTTTAACTTTAAGACATATAAAAAAAACTGTAGAAGATATAAATGAGGAAAGGGTGGGGGAGGAGTTGGCATATACCAGTTCATTATCTCCAGCCTCCTCTCTTTCTTTTGCTCCCTTTATTCTCTCTATCTCACCTTCTCATAGCCCAGTGCAACCAACTTTCATCCCTGGCCAGTTAGGGTGTACTTCTCTGTCACATCCTCTGGAATCTGCATTTAACTGACTTGGAGGTAGTTGACAGAACGAGCACATGAAACAACAACAAAAGACTCTGCACACTTTCGGAGTCATGCTAACTCTTCATTACAAAGCCTTCAAGGGCTCCACTTTAAGACCTTCCAGCGTTACTGTACCGAATCCCAAGCCCAAGTTTGAGTACAGTTAATGCCGAGGATATAATTCCATCAGACAAAAATAAATAAATAAATAGCTAGATAGATAAAATAAAAATAAATAAATAAAAAATATTTCCATTTTCAGCAGTTTGGAGTGGTGTCAAATCATTTCCATAAACTTATGAATAGACTGAAAGGGGTTAAAAAAAATCACAAAACAGTAATCAGCATGACATCTACAAAATATAATATATACAGCTCAAAGTTAAGCTCTGTGGTTTGCCAAGCTGTCATGATGAATAATTATCCTGCTCTCTTATTTCTGAAATTTACAGTATTTAATGACCTTTGGAAATTACAATCCTCTTGTGAGTAAAGAAACAAAACAAAAAAAACATGTTAGAGTTACAGAAGAGAGGATGAACTTTTCAGTGAAGTAGCAGGCCTCTTGTGTCCTATAGTTACACTTTTGAAATTATATGTTCATATTTAAACTATTCATATATTCCGAGCAAGAATGAGAAGATGTAATTTTAAGAATTTTTAACTAGAAAACTTTTATTAGGTCTCAAAACATGTTTGAATGGTATCTTTAAGGTATGGTTCTCTTTTAAGTAAGATGATGTCAAACATAAAAGAAACACAACAGCTGAATGGTAATTAAATTCCAACATCTTAATCTTTGACTCAATAAACCCTGTGTTTGCTTTGACAGCATGCATGATAGACTTAATGCCAGCTCAGCCCAATTAACAGTGACACTGAGGGCAGGATCACATCAGCTTTGAGGGACAACACAAAGACAGAATCTACATATACTTCTGATACTGCATATAAATGCACAAACATGCAAGAAAATACAGTACAGGATGCTCCCACTTGCAAAAACAGGTGTGTTAAAATGTGTTGTGCTGTCTAATTCCAGAAACAAATGAGTCAGTCAGTCAATCAGCCAGCCAGTCTGTCAGCCCAGTTCTTTGTAGACAGGAGGGGCAACAGTCCACAGGGTTAATCTTTGCCTAATCTGACTATGATAAGGAGCATGCCACCTGGTACAGAGAGACACATATACAGTACCTTTATTTGTGTGTCTATGGGTGTGTGTGCGTGGGAGACACAGAGATAGAGAGAGAGAGAAAGAAAGAGAGA